ATGGTCACTTACTGTATACTGGGAACAGTTCTCCACTGACACCTCATCAGCTAAGCCACCATTTTCTAATCTCTGTAAAGTGACTATTCTAGTTTCATTGAGGTTCCTGTGATAAAACCCCCTGAACTTAAGGAAGAAAGGGTTTATTTGACTTACAATATCAGATGATAGTATACATAGCAAGTTCCAACCCTGGCAGAGCTACATGGTGAGACACTGCCTATAAATGAATGAATAAAAACAAACTGACTCATAATTTTCTCTCAAACCCCGTACTCCTACTTTTAATAAATTACCTGTTTACTTATATGTGCAAGCCAGAAACTCCCCCTCTCCTTCTCCACTATGTGTAGTGTGTGCAAGCATCCTATAGAACCCATGTTACTATCCATCTTCTGTCCACTCCATCCTCTTTACCCAGAGGTGCCATTATATTTATCATCAGCAACTGTAAACAGACTTCTATGAGTCCTCTTACTTAAGAGCGCATGAGTCATTAGCTTTTTCTCTTTACTGTCCTTTGCTTCTCCTCAATCCATTCCCATATCACCACCAAAGGGAGAAACGCTCTCAACTGGACAGCTTAATGAGAGATGCAAGACAATCGGTCACAGTAGCATGATTGTAACCTGTGATTGTGCACATCAGTGTATTTAAGTATGTGTTTGTAAGGGATAATTCTTGCTTAGGGATAAAGTAACCAACTCCCTGTATGATCCAGGCCTCCTCTGTTTTAGAACTAAGAACTGTGCATGCTGACTCCCAATAAAATCCATGTGACCACTCGCCTATCTAGAGAGCAGTGTCTAAATGCTGTTGACTGTCTCAGGGAGGCTGAGCTGGGGTGTTTCACTAAAGCCAGCTGGAGTTATGCCTTTTCCCCTTGATTGACAAGTAACTAATGGGCTCAGATTAACTGGAAAGAGATCCAGTCCAACTATTTCACATATTGTCAATGAAGTCAGTCTGCCTACAGTTTAAAAAAATGGCAGTCCTTTTCTCTTTAAAATATTATCTTTCCTTGGCTTCCAGTCACCATCTGACCCCAGTTTTCCTGTAATTTTAATTTCTTATCTCTTTTAATGTGTCTTCTATCACTCCTAATGCTGGAATATTCCAAGTTTCTCTTGTTTTCTCAATCAATAGCCACTAAACGAATGACTTCATTATCTAGCTGACCAAATTCAGAATCAATTACAAACAGAGCTAGAACTCAAGGCCAGGAAATAAAAGGCTATTCTTATTATTTTTCAAACATTTACTATAAGGAATATGACCATGTCACTGACAAGTCCACCAAGCACGGGAACACTTAAACAAACACAGGCCTCTTCCACGCAAATTGTATCATGCAAATGCAAACTGGACCAAGAATAACATCAGAGAAAAATGGGAATATTTATATTTTCTAAAGGTAGATATCCCCCAAATACACAAGAAATCAATTAAGCCATGAATTCTGACCAAATGAATTATGTATTCGAGGAAAAGTGACAAAGGAAGCAATGAAATTTAACACTGGTAGAATTCTCACTGGAATAGAAAGCCAGGAAACATGTTCCTGCTACGCCAAATATCATTTTTGGTCCAGTAAGTGTCCATTGTAACTCCAGCATCCATATCTCTCAGCGCTTGAGGACTGCGTGCCTTCCTGCCCAGCCAGTCTCTGTTTCAGAGAGTAGCAGGTATTGTGAACTCAAAGAGGGAATTCTTTATTTTTTTCCTATCCCATCACTCATTTCTTAGTTTGCCTAGGCTATCATAACAAATCAAAGCTGAGATGCTTACATTGGTTTGTTTATTTGTTTGTTTATTCTTTCACAGTCCTGGCGATTGAAAGGCAAGCATCATAATGCCAGTAGGATTGATTTCTCCTGGAGCCTTTCTCTTGAGTTAGCCATTTCTCGTTTGTAAGCTCATCCCTGCCATCTCTAATCTGCCATAATGGTTTAGAGCCCTGTCCTACAATGATCACTAAGCTCAGTTAGCTTCATAAAGGCTGTCACTGAGCAATAGTCATTTTGTAGAGCAGGGCTCCAATGCAGGAATTGGGAGGGACCATGACCCATCGAAACGCCTCTCACATTTGTTCTATTTCAGAGAACTGTACCACCGCTGACTAACAGGCCAGGCCCAACTTGGAAACTTTTCAAGATTCCCTCCCTCCCCCATCCTCCACCAAGCTCACCAACACTATGTCAGTGCTTTTTATATGAACTTAGAGATGTGAGTTCACATCTATTCACTCCAAAAATGGAAGGAAAGAAATGACTTCATCTAAATTTAAGCTAGAAAACCAACAAATTTAATTAAAGTTGTTTACAAAAATATGTGCAGTTCAAGGGTAGCTATACCACTGAAGAAAATAAAATCTCTCTCTTAACTACCTAGAAATCCTTGGTTAAGTTGGGGTCTCACAAACCCCTCCCTTCTCTGTGATGGGAGATTAGGTGCCTAACCTTACACAGTTCCCTTGTGGATAGTCACAAGTGTTGACAGTTCAACAGGACAATGGCCAGGTCATGCACTCCTCAAGGGTCATTGCTACTGAGCCTTGTCTCACCACCGCTTGTGTGGATACACAGCCTCCATCACCCTCTTCTTCATGCTCTATGATAATGCTCTCTTAACTGGTTTTGCTGTTTCCTTTCTTGTTCTACCACAGTTAAGTTTTTCCAGAAATCCACTAGAATTGTCCCACAAAGTAAACGAGAACCCATCACTTTCCTAATGCAAGGGTCTGGCCACTTCATTTTCCTGTAGCAAAGCTTATGTCTGTGTAGACCTAGGCACCTGTGCCACTGACCATGCCTGTTTTGGGTATGGCTACAGGTGTGTAGGTCTCTCCCTACATGTCTGGGTATAATGGTCTCTTCCTGTCTTCTGGGAGCTTCTGAGAACTGACTTCATGTGTTTCTTGTTTGTGTTTTCATTGCCATTACTGCTCAAATGTAACTTCCATCGTAGTGTTTTACCTGAGCCTTCTTCCCAACCCCATTCCTGTGCCCTTCTTTATTTTCCCCCCAATATATTTATGACTGCCTGGAATTATATTGCATTTGTATTTGATTATTTATCATTAGTCTTCTGTACTATGCTTTACACTTTATGAAGACATTTTGTTCTGTTATATTCAGAGTCAACAAATACTAGCTGAACAAAAGTAATTGTGTCATTTGTAGCATCCTGGTTTACAAGCTTATTTTTCTAAGCTATGCAATGCCTTCCTGTTGCTCTCTGGGTAAAATCTGAGCATTTAGCATGACACAAGACCCTCTCATTTCTCAACCTCTCCCCTGAATTCTTCTATCACACAGCATAAGGTCCATCCCACATTGATCATTTTACAGATGGTGCAGTGTTCATCCATCTTGGACTCTGTACACAGTAACTAAGCAGCCATTACCAAGTGAAGCAATTACATAAAGCAGAGTGTGTATAGAGTATTGATTTTACAATTAATCTGACTAGCATGTTGGTTAAATGATGGCAATACAATGAGCAGTATTTAACTATTTGCAAGTTGTTTTGTAAATCAAATTAATTTAACAAATACTCACATGGCACCTATCTTGTTTTCTCTCCCTTAGGTGAAGTGAGTGAAGTTAACAAGGATGCATGCTTCATGGAATGCATGCTCCAGTAGAAAGATCACCCAGGAGTAACAAGTGCAGTTGAGAAAATGGAGCCAGGAGGAGAGTAGGGTGTATCTGGTGTCATACATACATATGATATATGTATGGAGGTTAGAAATACCATCCCAGGGATGATGACATGGAATGGAGACTCATAAGTGTTGAGGAGATCTAAGGATAGAACATTTCAATCAGAAGGGACAATAAATGAAAAGTCTCTGAAGTGAGAAAGTATCCACGACATTCATACAATGATCACAGAAAATCCAGATAGGGACTGGAGAAATGGCTAAACAGTTTAAAGAGCTTGCTGCATTTCTAAATGGCCCAAATTAGGTTCAAACACCCATGTCAGGTGGTTTGCAATCACCTGTAACTTCAGCTCCAAGGCATCTGATGCCCTCTCCTGACCTCCCCAGTCACCTGCACACACATGTCATACATTTACATGGACACACACACATACATACACATACCTAAAGGCAAATATTTAAAATGTCATTTTTATTTTTAAAATGTACAAAGGCTCATGCCATGCACTCTGTACTCCTAATCCCAGTAGTCTAAATTGGTATCAATTTAATAATAAAAATGAATAATAGAAAGTGCCTGTAGATAACTTTCAATCATTTGGAAATGAGATAACATACTTCTAAATAAGCCATGAATGAATAAGAGAAGAAATCAAAAGGGAAATTAGGAAGTATATTGAGTGTGTTGAAACTAAAGATACATACAAAATACTATAGAACGGCAGTATTCATGTTAAAAAGGAAAAAAAAAACAAGAAAGGGAGAAGGGAATTGGCACCATAAATGCTATAGAAAGATGTCAACCTCGCTTTGAAAAGCTGGATTTTTAATCTGAGGTGGATAGTGTGAAACCATGGTAGCATTTTGAGCAGAGGGAGATAGCATCCTTTATGTTTTAATAATCTACTTTGTTAAGAACATATGTTAGTACATTAGGTTAGAAATGAGGTAGGACAAACAGTAGAGGAAACATAGGTATCCTATAAATGATGAACAATTCCCATAATAATCAGTGTTGTAATAGATCTCTCTAAGTACAGGGAAGCCCACTTAAAGCACAATGGAGTTGTACCCCTCCCTGTTTTAATCTGCTTCTTAGTTTTATTTCAAAAAGGGTAGAACTTTAATGTAAATGTGTTGAATGTGGGGCCACAAAATACACCCTATCCTGTCTCATTTCAAAGTAATATCTCCTCTGGGCCAGTCACCTGCAATGCCCTCCTCACTGATGCTAAGGAGCTGCCTTGCCCAACTCATGAAGGGGGATCCAGGAAAAGCTCTGCCTCCACAAAGCCAAAACTATTGGAAAATGGATGTTTGTTCACATTTACAGGCAACTGGAACCTTGTAGAAACAGAGAACCAGAAAAGCTGAGAAAAACAGAGCCGATACAAGACAAGGTAAGTAGACCCCGGCACCTGCGGCTATGTCCACAGACAAGGTTACTGATGCAACATGTACAGGAAAGGCTTTTAGTATGGTCTGCATGGGGTGGTCATTTATACTGGGTGCTGTGAAAAAGTGTCTGTAATCCAACACACACGCAGGTGATACTTGGAGTCCTAATGATGATAACTCCTTCCCCTCCCCCTCTTTTTTGTCCTCTTCCTTCTCTTCTGTCTCCTTTCTGTCCTTCTTTGTATTAGTGTTGGGGGTAGAAACTGGTGCCTTTGACAAGTTAGGCAAGTGCTCTACCCCTGATCTTAAACCCCAGCCCTAATTCCCTTTACCACACTTTAGCAGGACAACACAATACTGAGGTCCCTTAGTAGGCACCCAGGGAAGAGTTTTTGGCGGAAGTGAAGACCATGTAAAGAACAGTTAACGTCATGCACACTTAGAGTCAGTTCTGCTGACATAGAAATGTTTTTCACAGGTATACTCTGCAGTTTCTGTTTAGTACCCGACCCTTCCACTTGGGAAAGCCCAATGTGTTGGTGACATTTCCGGTCTGGTCACAAAGTCACCTATTGGCTGCTGCATGCTTTAAAGTTTTCCAAAGATGATCATCATTTTGGAAACTGTGTGTGTTTATTGGTATTGAAACAAAGGTGCTGAACCAAGTAATCCACACATGTCATCTTGAAATCAGCAGAGGAAACTGCTGCCTACGAAACACATACAACAAATGCACAATCGGTTTCTAGTGCTGTTGAAGGTTACCAGAGTCTTTGGAATTTGGTATACTTGGAATGTTTGTAATAAATACAAGTTTCTGGAAATATTTCTGTCAACATTTTCCCTATAGACATATTTATAATGTATATTTGGTTTCTTTTATTCACATGTGCATTTCTGTAGTAGACATCCATTGAGGTCTACCTTGACATGTATAACAACTTTATACCACCCATGCCTTTGCAACTGTGTGAAACTTGATCCCTGAACTCAGGAACATCAATATAGAGAATGAGAGCATACACAAGGAGCTACAATGCAGGGATAAGCAGCTGATCAGAGTAAAAACAGGAAACATGGAGTCAAAGATGAGGAAGTGACTGACAAGGATTTGAAACACTAGGCTGGGGGTATACCTCGGTTGATAGAGTATTTTCCTAGCATGCTTGAAGCACTGGGTTGGATGCCCTGTACCATATAAAAAGGAGTAAGCTAGCACACACATACAATCCCAGCACTTGAGACATGGAGGCAGGAGGATGTTCCTGGTCATCCTTCACCTCGTAGTGAGTTGAACGCCACCTTACATGATATGAAATCCCATCTTGAAAATTTAAATTACAGAATTAAGATCAAAGATCACCTGGGAGAACCACTGGAAAGACATCTTAAGTTACATTTCCAGTATAAGGAATGAGGCTTTCAGGATTGAAAGTCAATTAAAATGTGTTTACTACACTGATGATGTCTTCTGTCTGTGGTACACCCAGTAGCTGGCATCTAGCCAGTGATTAACCACAGCTTTTTCCTTGTTGGAAATACTGCTGTCATTTTATGCTCATTAAAATATGGTGGTGATGGTGATAATGTCAACATAGGTGTCTCTTTCTTTGCTGTTTTTACTAGGCTCTCACTGTGTTGCTCAGGCTGGCTTCATACTCCCAATCCTCCTGCCTCACCTTCCTGAGTTCAGGCACACAGCTTACAAAAAAGTATTTGGGAGAAGAATGAAGCATGTTGGAAGTGTTCAAGCAGATACACTAACCATTTATTTACTGTGCTAATCGTTTCTCAACCCTCAGTGTGTTGTTAAAATGCATCATCGTGTATCAATAACGACCAGCCCAGAAGACTAACCTTTCTTCTTTGACCATTATGAGTATAGCTTCTTCCAAAATGAATTTACATATTCAAAATGACTCTAGTCAAAATTCCAGTGACATTCCCCTGACAGGCACACACACCAAAGCTCTCCTAATATAAATCATAAAAATAATAGGAAACACACAGAGAAAAAAACTAAAAGAAAAATAAGAAAAAGTAATAGAGAAAAGAAAACAAAACTATTGCAAAGATGAAAGTGTGACTAATGCTATAAGACATAATAGCTTGTGAAAGTGTTCTGTTGCTTCTGAAAAAATTAATTTCATAGTAAGCTACAAGTGAACTAAAAAAGCCAAGAAAGTAGAACACACTAAATATAGCATGCAATGCTAATAAAGGATATATTAATTAGTCAATGAGAACCTGAAGTTCGTTCGTGTTGTCTGAGGAGACAGTGAGTAAACTGAGAAAAATCAGCTCAGAGCCCCATTTTACATTTTATTCTAAAATACATTTTAGATAATTAGGGAAATATATGTGAAAGAATCAGAGAGAAATTAGTAAAAGAAAAAGTGAAATCAATATTTACCAAAAGTTTAGAAGTAAAATGGTTTACTAAATTACAAGATAATAAAGGGTCTAAGGAAGGCAATGAAAGATTAAACCAGACACAGTTTTAAAACTTTATTATATAACTTTAAAAAGCATCAGATTGTGAACATGCCCAGAGAAACACAAAAATGTTCATTCTATTGTATCATGAACTTATATAAGCTGCCAACAACTCTATAAGGAAAATACAGTGTTAACACAGAAGAAAACAAAATAGTTAGAGATCTTATAATTAATCAATACACACAAAAATCCTGTATCCATTACAATGGGTTCTTATCATAAATTGCATTTTTCTAATTGATAATATTAATTGTAAGAGTAAAGGTGGCATAGGATTGTTTGTGTGATCAAGTTGCTAGTATCGTTGTCTTGTTATTTTCTTGATTTTTTTCTAAGAATTGGAAGTTTTAAAAGACACACTGAGTGGACATAGGCACTTCACCGGTGCCTGTTGGAGATGTGCACAGAGACTGCAGCGTGTCTCACCGAGGAAGATGCCTTCCTTCTTGCACCATCTGCTGAGACTCTGGCATGGAGAAAGACTACCTTTCTGTCAATTTAAAATTGTAAGCAAAAAATAGGTTTTGAGGACTGGAAGGCAGTTCCGTCTGTAAAGTATTTGCTGCTGTAAGTATTGAGTGCAGACTCAAATAAAGAGCCAGCACAAAGCGTACGTTTATAACCCCCACGCTGCAGAGTGGTAGGGGATAGGAGTATCCTTGGCGCTCATTCGGGAGCTAGCCCACCTGAGTAAGTGAGACCCAGACTCAAAAATAAGGTGAAGCCTGAGAAAGACAGCCAGCCAACACCTCTGGTGTGCACTTGAGAGCATTGTGAACACACACACACACACTTGACTCAGAAAAGAACATCTAGAGCATGCATATGCAGCAAAGAGACTGCTACTGGGTTTCCCAGGCAGAACCACTGAAACAGCAGCTGTTCAGTTCCTAAGAATTTTCCTAGAGCAACATTGTGTGTCTAAAAAGGATTGCAGAACATTTTATCATCTAGTTCCTGTTTGTTTGTTTGTTTGTTTGTTTGTTTTTTGAGAAAACAATGGAGGCATTGGGATTTGTTTAGCTACAGTTGCAAAGCGGGTACAGTAACCCTGCCTGTCCACGATTTGTCTGCGGAAGCAGCAGCAGGTGTGGAGGTGTGGCATGGGGTGGTTCAGCTGCTCATTGAAATCTGAGTGGGCACAAGTGTGATGCACAGTAAGCAGATTGGACAAAAGGTTTGGGAAGAGGCGGCCCCGCAGGCTCCACCTGCCGTCTCATTCCTTATTCTGAAAGCCATTGCTGGCTTCTCCATTGTTTTACGTTATCTAAAACAAAGAAGACACAAAATTAAGGGTTTTCTTTTGTAATTAGTTCATAAGATCACCGAGCCAATCACATGCAGAAACCCTCACCTGTGCCTTTGAAAGATCTATTTCGAGATTGCTTAGTGCCACCGCCTTATGGAGACATTCTGGAGAATGTATGACACCCCTGCCCTGACTAGCCGGCCTCTGGGGTACTTATTGGCAGCCCTGTCAATTGAACATGGCTTGCTGTTCCTGTCCTACCCAACGATCGTATATAAAGGAGGCCGGGGTCTTTGCTGCCACTTGCTTGGGGAGGGATTTCATGTTCCGGGTTCTAGATGGCACGCTGCCTTACATGAAGTGCCAGTGTTTGTGTCTCGCCTTCCTTTATCCCCGGGGAGGCTGGAAACACACTGTAGGGATGATGGAGGTGTAGAATACAAGTGGGGCTGGCATTTGCCGGCATGCACCAAGTCTTGTGGTCATTACCAGCATCATATGAACTTCATATAAGCCAGTCATGGTGGTGCACACTTTTAATCCCATCACTTGGGGGGGGGCAGAAAGACACAAAGTTCAAGGTCATCCTCAGCTATCTAAGAATTCAAGACTAGACTGGGTTATAGGAGACTCTGTTAAAAATAGTAAGATGAAAACTAATTTGAACTTAGTTGTGAGAGGGCTGATCATTTTCTATAACCTTTCTGAATCTAAATCAGCACTAAGAACAATTTTTCCCAACAACCCTGATATAGAAACCTCTCTCTCTCTCCATACACACACACACACACACCAGAACAAAGAAGAGTTTATGGTTTTCATTTATATACTAACAATAAGGGAAAATGCAAAATGAAGAATAGCCTTGTGCTGGCTAACCTTGATTGTCATCTTGGTACATCTGGCAAGAAGGAAGCTCAGCTGGGGGATCGTCTCCATCAGATCCTCCTCTTGGCATGTCTGTAAGGCATTTCTGTGCCTGCTAACTGATGCTGACAGGCCCATCCCACTGCGGGCAGTACCATCCCTACGCAGGTGGGTCAGGGATGTATAAGAAAGGTAGCTAGCAGATTGTGAGCCTGGAAGCAAGCCATCCAGCAGCGTTCCTCTACAGTTTCTACTCCAGGATCAGTGCCGGACCATCACCCGATATAAGCCTTTTCCTCCCCACGTTTGTTTTGGTTGGTACGTATCACAGCAACAGAAAGCAAACTAAGAGGACCCATCCCACTGAAACGATGACAAGAGTGGTAAAAACCTACAAGACCTTCAAATAGAAATATCCTTCATAAAACTGTCAGCCCTCCCCCAGACTGATGGCTGTATGGAAAGCATGGGACTGACCCAGACCCCCTGCATGTGGGTGTCAGTGAGGAGGCCTAGGTAATCTATGGGGCCTTGGATAGTATTAATCCCTGGCATACAGACAGACTTTGAGTGCCCATCCCACAATGAGGGATGCTCTCTCAGCCTGGACTCTTGTGGGAGGGCCTAGGCCCTGCTCTAGATGAAATGACAGACTCTGGAGATCCACCATGGAGGGCCTCACCCTCCCTGGGGATTGGAGTGGAGATTGTGTGGGGGACCAGGAGACCTGGTGGGGAGGGTGGGGAAGGAGGGGAGGGAGAGGGAGCTGGGGTTGACATGTGAAACAAGCTTGTTTCTAACTTAAATAAAATATACATATATATATATGTATATATATATTGTCAGCCCTCCACAAATGAAGACATATTCAATGAAAAGTTTTATTCTTGTTCTATTGTCTTGTTTGTAAACCATATAAAAGTTGTGAAAGAATTAATGTGAAAATAAATGGGGGATAATGCCTCAAAAGGCTTATAAAGACTAAGATTGAATGGACGGGGTGTGGAGCATGTGGTAGGACAGTTATGTACCTACAGAGGAACTGCTTAACTGCTTCTAGATTAGCAGGATCCAACTGAAGGACAGGGAAAGCGGCAGCACCTGGAAAATATTCAGTTCCCTAAGACAGCATGGTACATAAAAAAATTAATCCTTTTGATCTATCATGGGGAAAATTTAGATGAGCTGATAAGTGGCATAATTGTAGATCCACATGAAAGGGAAAGTTTAGTAGTTGCCTCACAAGTAATATAAAAGTTTCAAATACACTCTTCAAACAACTGTCACAGCTTCCATTTGATCAACTGACAAATTAAGACCAATGCAGTGAGTGAGATTCAGCAAGGAGGAAAATTCAAAAAAAAAAAAAAAGCATCTAGTTCCTCAGAAGTAGCTATCCGGGGCTTCTCTTCCCAGAGGTTGAACTCCAGGATCATCTGTTCTAACTTACCACACACCTGCAGACTTCATGCCTACATACAGAGATCCACTTCCTCATATTAGACACTGCCACCCAGTGTTCCACAACATTCCAAAACAGTTGGGACACAAGTCTTCACCATTATGTACTCAAACCTTAACACTGTGTTGGAATTGATGAAATGAAGGAAAATCTAATTAAACAGATGGGAATTTCTAGCATTTAGAACGTAGTATGTTATATTCAACTGGCTGGCTGACACCAGTGAAATGATCTACCTAAAGTGATCACTAAATCTGAGCTTTGTCTATGACTTGATCTTAAATGTGTTGATGACTTGGTTCCCAGCTGATGACAACTAACAAGAGGCAGAATCTTAGGAAGTAGAATCTAGTTGGAGTAAGCATCCACTGCAGGCCGTGCCTTTGAGTGAGTGTAAGTGAGTGTATTGGGACCCTGGTCCCTGGACACCACACCACCACCACAGAGTCTCTTTGTCTCTTTGTCTCTCTCTCTCTCTCTCTCTCTCTCTCTCTCTCTCTCTCTCTCTCTCTCTCTCTCTCTCTCTCTCTCATTTCCTCCCTTCCTCCCTCCCTCCCACTCTTCCTCCCTTCCTCTCTTCTTCCTTCTCTGGCCTCCATAAAAAGAATATACTTTGCTCTGTGATATACTCCGTGCTATGATGTTTCACCTTATCACAGGACCACAGCGATGGAGCCAAAAGACGATGCAAAGAACCATCCCTCACAGTGGCAGAGAGCTGACCGGCCCAGCGTCACTCTGCAAAGCTACTATCTAATTGGGTTCTACAGTTAACTCCAAAGCCTCAATACCTCTAAATAGATAACCGCCTGTGAATCTCACCGGGTGTCTTGGAACACTGCGGTCTGAAGCAAAACAAAGTGCAGTAACTGGAAGACTTGAGATCCGTGGAACAGATAGGGATCTTCAGAGTTAATCTCCCATTGCCTCCCAGCCCACCCTCACAGCGACTTTTCAAGACTGACTTCCCACTGGCTTGCTGAAGGCTCACAGCTGTAGCAGAATACTGAAACAATGACCCCAGGATAAACATTCCTCACAGTACTACATCCACCAGGTTAAGTGACATCATCTTTAGTTCCAAGGATGTCTCAAAGTGTCATGTCCTTTTGAAATCTGCCTGTTGCACCTTTAATCCTAGAACATACATATTTTTCTCCTTCCAACTAAGTTCCTGCAGGTGTCACAATGGAGAAGGGAGATCGCAAGAGGCAGTAATCACAGTGTCACACGAATATATCACTTTTTCTTGCAGGGCTAGACAGGGATGAGCTGGGACGTCCGTCTAAGAGACATGAGATTTACAATGACAGGTTTCTCAAGCTGAAAACGAAGAGGGAGACAGTGTGGCAGGTAAAGGCATGGGGGGCAGGGGGGAGATGCAAGCACTGTGCGTCAATAAATCACTCACAGCTGTACGGATTTACAGCTGCAGAGGAATCTGGAAATAGCCCAGTCCTCGGGGCCAATATCACCATCATAATTTGTTTTTCCCGCAGGTCTCCAATCTAATTTGTTTTCAAAAAGCACTTTCAAGGGTTTCAGGTAATCAATATTAGAAGACATCAGCATTCCTGGCATCAGTGCCCCCTGTATCAGAACCACCCTAAATGTTTCTTGAAAGGATGAAACCAACTTAGTCATAAGGGAATCTTCATCAGTGATAATGTCCCTCAGTGATCTAGATGCATGCTGATATTGAGAACAATGACTTGTCACCTAGGTCCACAGACTGGAGAGCTGTGAACTTGGGAAATGGTATTCTAATCTAAGAAAAACCTTGATGAATTTCTCCCCTCTTTTTTGACCTTCTATTTTTTTTTCAAAACAGCAGAAAAGACAACAGGGATACAACTGAGACAACCAGGAAGGACATCCTTCCAGAGCACGTACCAGAAAAGGATGTTGCTGCTTCTACTGTCTCCACTCCTGTCCTCAGGGCAAGCAGCCTGAAGCAATGCCTAGAGCAAGGGAGGAGCAAAGCTGGAAGCCCAGGCGTTCTCCACCTGTCCAGAATGATTTCGTGTGACCGTCAGCTATTTTTATTTTTACTTCATGTGCCATAAAAATAATGATATTTTGAGAAATTCCACAGATAAAGGGCACTGAGGGATAAAGGATGTAGCTTTGGAGCCTGATGGGTTATGGGGTGGAAACTTCTCTAGGCTTCTTTGTCTTCAGTGTTCTTATTGCTCTCACTTCAGATTCCTGCAAGTTTACCACACTGTTTTTGAAACCGAGCCATAGACATTTCTCAGAAATATGGGAGCCAAATCCGAGGGCACTTTTTATTATCCCCCATTTATATTGAGCAGCCTTTGCCTGGTTTTCATTGTGAGCTTCTCCGTGTGACTGCAGTGAAAGAGTGTACAGCTCATGTGGGCTGTGCAAATTCTTTTCGTTTCAGGAGTAACAGTTCTAGAAGTGACAGCCCTAACCCCTCATCATCTTTACTGTCTGACTTTAGACCTAAACACTTTTTTATTCAGCAGTATTTCTTCGCTCATAAAATAAATGTGGCTATCTTCCTCATGTGGTGGTGAATAGAAGAAAGAGCAATTCTACTCAGAGATAAATACCGCCTATCAAGTATAACCACACAGCAGAGGACTCCGTCTGAGATTGTGGTTTTAGGGTTCAGGCTATTTGAATCCCATTTGCTTGGTTGACTAATCTACCTGTTTGATAATGCTGGCTAGAGTTTTCTCCATTTAGAGGAGAGGCAAAATGATAATAGCACATTAATACGTTTCTAATTTCTTTAAAGGTCTCTCCAGCTACTGTGTAGTGAACAGATTGGGAAGGAAAAGACCATCAGTGGGGGAGAGCCCGTGAGGCAGCTGCGTAAAGCCAGATACGAGGTAAAACCAGACTTGAGAAGTAAGCTCTTTTATGCAAGCTGTGGTAGTAAACATGGGTTGCACTGATGCTAACCTTATCTCCCTTTCCCACTCCATAAAGGGAAGTCGTTCAGCACAAACTCTAAACAAGGCTGCTTTGCCTTCCTTCGATTCTAACACATGGCCGGGCGTTGCTTGGGTAAAGTACTTGGTTCTTGACCCTTGCTTCTGATCTATAAACTGGAGCAAATACCAGCACCTGCCTCGTTGAATTGTCCTGAATAACAGAGGACACGCACTGCAGTGTCCAGAACATTTCCTTCCTGGAAGTAAGCATTGCCTACTTTTTTGCCAGCCACAGAAAGGATGTAAAGGGGACAGTGTGGCTCGTGGCCCCTAGAGGACAACAGAGGAATGATTACAGAAGTGACAGGTGCATGCTAGCCATCAAAGATGTGCTCTCTGAGGAGAAAACGGTGAGGAGAGAGCTGCTACCTGGCATGCAAAGCGGAAGCTGAGCCAGGAACTATTGCATATCTTGTTCTGGGGAGTCTGCATAATGTTGCCCATATAGTCAGTGTAAGCAAAGTCAAGGACGTGGGCAAATGAGCCGACATGAGGGAGTCAGGCACAGCTGTTCGGACACACTTCTAAGAAGGCATACGCAGAGGGCTAGCCAGTTGACCTTGGCTATTGAGCCTGAGGGTTGGGGACTCTGATTTATCTGTTTGTGACCTGGGCTTTCTTGAAGCATGCCAGCTGGGTTACAAGAGTGGATATCAAGATAAGGACAGATAGAAACCGCATCACATTTTGTGGCCCAGCCTCTGACATCGTATTTGTCATAAGCCTGCCCATTTTGAGGGGCACAGGATATAGGCCTCGCTTATTTTGTGTTTTGTTCATTTTATTACAGTTTTCATCTTGGTGGTTTTTTTTTTCTTTTCTCTGTTTGGTTTGGTCTTATTTTTTGTTTTGAGTCAGAGTGTCACTATGCAGCCCAGGCTGGCCCTGAATTTTTCAGCTCTCTGCCTCGGCCTCCAAAGTGTCAGGATATAGACATATGTTACCCATCTCTGACTTTTTTGGGGGGGGTTTGAGACAGGGTTCCTCTGGGTGTAGTCCTAGCTGTCCTGGAACTCACTCTAGTACTAACAGAGATCCACCTGCCTCTGTTTCCCAAGTGCTGGGATTAAAGATGTACTAGCGACCCATTCCTGACCTGTTGATGTGAGAGTTTAGGGGAAGGATTCTGGGGGTGGGAAACATGGCATGAGAAATATTTTACCCATTATTTTTAAGACAATCAAGCATCGAGTAATTTCCAAGAAATGCTTGCTAGCTCCTGTCTTTGATTTTCTCACATAATGCATCCAATCTCACTGCCTCCATTGTTCCCAATAGCACCCACTGGGGACGCAGCCAGCCTGGTGCAGCCTGGGTACCATTCAGGGACCTCCCCTCAGTTGTAGCTGGGATCATGGCCAACTCTGCAGGAGAGATTGCAGGATGGTCAGTGTGAAGCAACACCAAATAATCCAATTAAAAAGTGGGGTACAGAACTAAATAGAGAATTCTCAATAGAGGAATATAAAATGGCTGAAAGACACATAAGAAAGTGCTCAACATCCCTAGTCATCAGGGAAATGCAAAACTCTGAGATACTATCTTCTTCCTGTCAGAATGGCTAAAATCAAAAGCACCAATGACAGTCTATGCTGGAGAGGATGTGGAGAAAGGGGAACACTCCTCCATTGCTGGTGGGAGTACAAACTTGTGCAGTCACTTTGGAAATCAGTATGGCAGTTCCTCAGGAAAATGGAATTCAGTCTATCATAAGACCCAGCAATTCCATTCGTAGGCATATACCCAAAAGAGGCACATTCATACAACAAGGACATCTGTTCAACCATGTTCACAGCAGCATTATTTGTAATATGCAGAACCTGGAAGCAGCCTAGATGCCCCTCAACTGAAGAATGAATGGAGAAAATGTGGTACATTTACACAATGGAGTACTACTAAGCGCGGGGGGGGAATGGAATCTTGACATTTGCAGGCAAATAGATGGAACTAGAAGAAACCATCTTGAGTGAGGTAATCCAGTCACAAAAACAAACATGGTATGTACTCACTCATACATGGATTTTAGACCTAGAGCAAAGGAGTAGCAACCTACAATCCACACTGCCAGAGAAGCTAGGAAACAAGGAGGATCCTAAGAGAGATATACATGCCCCCCCCAGAAGGAGAAAGGGACAAGATCTCCTGGGACTATGAGAGGAGGGGAGGGGGAGTTAGAAAAAAGAGAAGGGGAGATGATAAGGGGGAGAGGATGACAGGAGAGAGCCGGAAGATCGAGTCAGGGGAAAAATAGAGGAGAGCAAGAAAAGAGATACCATAATAGAGGGAGCCATTATAGGTTTAAAGAGAAATCTGGCACTAGGGAAATGCCCAGAGATCTACAAGGTTGACTCCAACTAATAATCTAAGCAATAGTCTGAGAGGCTATCTTAAAAGCCCTTCTCTGTTAATGAGATTGATGACTACCTTGTATGCCATCCTAGAGCCTTCATCCAGTAGCTGATGGAAGCATAAGCAGACACCCACAGCTAAACACTGAGCTGAACTCTGGAATCCAGTTGCAGAGAGGGAGGAGTGATGAGCAAAGGGGTCAAGACCAGGCTGGAGAAACTCACAGAAACAGCTGACCTGAACAAGAGGGAGCTCATGGATCCCAGACTGATAGCTGGGAAACCAGCATAGGACTGTTCCAAACTCCAAACTGAATGAGGATGTCAGTTTGGAGGTCTGGTTAATCTATGAGGCCTCCGGTGTGGATCAGTATTTATCCCTAGTACACGAATGGTCTTTGGGAGCCCACTCCACATAGGGGGATACTCTCTTAGCCTAGACACATGGGGTGGGTCTCGGCCCTGCTCCAAATGATATGACAGACTTTCAAGATCCCCCATGGAAGGCCTCACCCTCCCCGGGGAGCAGAAAAGGGATAGGATAGGTGGTTAGTGGGGGGCAGGGGAGGAGGGGAGAGAGAGGGAACTGGGATTGGCATGTAAAACAAGCTTGTTTCTAATTTAAATTTTAAAAAAGGAAAGAAAAAGAAAAGAATGGTAAAGGCAGGTGTTGGTGGCACACACCTTTAATCCCAGCACTCAGGAGGCAGAGGCAGGTGGATCTCTGTGAATTCTATGCCAGCCTGGTCTACAGAAGAAAAGGATGGTGAACACATGCCCAAGGGATGAGTGTTGACTTCTCAGAAGTGGAAGTCGTGCTGAAATGCTTCACAACATTATGTGATTCTGTGGTTTTCAGGGTTAGAATACTTGCTTGTGTCTGTTTTTCAGTTTAAACATGGGTTTACTTAGCAAAACAAGGCAAAAACTCATGGGCTCTGACAATAGACTGGACTGAGCCCAGCTGAGGGGCACCAGCACACCATCAGGTTCTATATTTGAGATCTTCAAAGAATATTTTGTGGATATTTATGTGGTGAGTAAAGTGACTAATTCACCCTTCTAAATCATGCTGGACAGGATCTCCTTTTCAGAACCCCAGGATGATTCTAAAAGCCCACAGGCAGGGGTCAAAACCACAATGCAAATGAATTACAATGAAGTCAGGGTCTTTTGGGAATGTAGACCATGCTTGTGCGTGCATGCTTGTATGCATGCATTCTTGTGTATATACATGCAAGCAAGCGTGTGTGTAGCAATGGAGGAGTCCCCTGGGAAAGCACCAGCCTGGGTTTCTGATACAGCAGAAAAACTCAACTGAAGCTTCAAGGATGCTTAACCACAGAGAACCATTCTGACCTTCAGGAGATACAACTGCCACAATTCAGCTGCAATCACCTTATCACTGCAAAGTTAGGATGTCTAAAGGATCTTATTTACAACTAGGCTTCAAGGCTAACATTAAAAAATTAAATTAAGTAATATTTTAAAATTCAGTCAGATATTTGGTTTGCTTAACTTTTAAAACTATTTTATTTGCATGAGTGTTTCCCACGTGTATGAGTGTGTACTATGTGTGCCTGGCCAGGAGAGGTGGTAGACTCCCTGGAAATGGAGTCACATGGGTGTGACCTGCCATGTGGATGCCGGAAATGATGGGTGTCCTCTCCAAGAAGAACAAGTGCTCTTGACCACTGAGCCATCTCTCCTGCCCTTGTAACTCTCATCCTAACGACTTTCCTTCTGTGAATAAAATTATGAGGTGGCTTTTGAGGGGTATTGTTCTGTTCCACGGAGAGAATAATGCTGATAACCTAAAAGCAAGGTCGCCGGAGCTGAAGCATTTGTTTTTGGCCTGAAACAGGTTTCAGTGGCTGTCAATTCTTCTGCTTGAAATGTTTCTTATAAAAGAGATCATCGTCTCTCTGTAGGCAACCAAAAAAAAACAGTGATTTTTTTTGTTGTTAGATGGATTGAAATCCTTTTCCCTCAGACAGTAAGAAATTAAGACTAAGAGTCAGGATGTGAGGATCCCTTTAATTTCCTGTCTTTCTGTCTGTCTCATTCCCATCTTAGTTCAACCCAGCGTGCCTCTCCACATGGATTATGCTCCCCCACTTCCGCAGTGAGCCCACATTACCTACTATGTACATCCCAGCATTAATTACAGAAATTTTGAGAAATATGAACCTAGTCCTATTACTTCTCATCTGATGCTCTGAGGATAAACGCCAAGCCCTGAAATGCAAACCAAATGCCCTCCACATTTAGGTCCTGGTTAAAGTCTCATTTCATCTTCAGGGTTTTCTATACCTCACAAACACTGCCTTGCCTCTTGTTCCAACATCTGTATGTGCTTTTGCCCCAGACCTGTCCCTGATCACAAATCTCTTCATGTCCATGCGGTCCCTTTATTCGGATCTGTGTTCAAACATCTCTTTCCTAGACCACCAGGTAGAATGAACACACAGCAGACACTTTCTATCCCTTCAAATTCCTCCATGTTCTTCAAACTCGGTTACCGCTGTGTGTAGATCACATGGAGAACTTGTGTGATTACTTCTCCATTGCCCGTTTCTCTCACACTGTAAGCATTTGACAGGCAGGACTGTAGTATTGTTTACTACTTCCTCAACAGTGCTTAGATCCATCCAATAGTTAAGACGAATTTTTAATAAAGGGTGTGGTGTCTGAATGAGAATGGCCTCCATTGGCTCACATATGCTTAATCCCCAAGTGGTGAACTGTTTTAGGAAAAATTAGGAGGTGTGACCTTGTTGGAGGGTGGACTTTGTGGTTTTAAAAGCTCATGCCTGGCTCGCTCTCTCTGTCTCTCTGTCTCTCTGTCTCTCTGTCTCTCTGTCTCTCTGTCTCTCTGTCTCTGTCTCTGTCTCTGTCTCTCTCTCTGTCTCTCTCTCTCTCTAGCTCTGGCTCTGGCTCTGGCTCCTTCTTGCTCTCACTCTCTCTGTATCTCCCCATCTCCCTCTCCCTCCCTTTCTCTCACCCTCCTTCCCTGCTGCCTGCAGATCAAAATATAAAGCTCTGTAGCTACTGCTCCAGCACCATGCATGTCTGCTTCCTGCTGTGATGATCATGGACTAACCCCTAAAACTGTAAACCAGGCCCCATTTAATACTCTTTTACAAGAGTTGCTTGGCCATGGTGTCTCTTCACATAGAACAAGGACTAAGATGAAGGGTATAAGTAAAAGAAGTACTGTGGCCCTCTAGACTGATGGTTGTGAAGACTAGGGTGTATCTTCTCTTAACCAACCGTGAGTTCTCTCTGTGAGATCTGAGCATCTCCTTCCTGGACAAGGATAGTTTTATGGGCTCTGGTTTGGGGAGGGTTGGGGGTTTCCATGGTAATACTTTATAGAGTTCATGTTTGAATCTAGGGGTTTCCATTGTTGGATAAAGTCAGGCCTGGACAAGTGTGGTGAGTCAGTGGTAACAGGCCACAGAGAATTCAATTCTCAGGAAGGCTTTGGTTGTGAGTGAGTGAGAAGGAAGGAGACTGGTTGCACTGAATGGCAAAGATAGGGGAAGGGAATCTGAAGGCATCAGTAGCCAAGGGAACACATTGCCACTGTTCTAGCCCTCACATAAGCAAATGAACACACTTCCTACATTTGGAGGATTCCCAATGTGCTTTGCATCCGAGACACTGGGTGGTATCACAAACCCCAAGAGTGATGCCCCTGAGCATGTGTCACCTAGAGTCTGTCTGTTAGCAATGCCAGCAGGTAGACCAAGTTTCCAGAGGGAAGGGTGCCCAGAAGCCCAGCACCAGCAGTAGGGCTGAGCCCAGGGCAGGCTCCAGAGCCACTGCCACCACAGAATTTCTCAGGTGTGACTCAGCATAGGACCTAGCTGGGGAGCCTCCTGCCTGGCTCCTGGAAACCTGAAAAATCTTAGATAATAAATGACTTTCCCACCGTCCTATATCTCAGCCAGATGCTACTGAGAACTTTGATAGATGACAGCAGGATGTTGGATTCCAGCCCCACCCACAGATTGGGTCTCACAGTTTAGAGAAAGGAGCTTGCCCAATGACAGGGATTTCATGAGCAATTTTGTGGCACTCAGAATTTGAACAGTAGTACTTCGAACCCTAGATAATGAA